ATAAGCAGATATGTAATCGGTTACTCTCTTTCATTTTCAGCTGTTAAAATCCTCATAAGCAATTTGACATGATTATATTTCTTTTTTAATGTGCATTCAGTTTCTTGTGTAGGCTGATGTACACTTACCTGAAGTACATAAATACAAATATGACACAAACATTCTTGAAATTCATGTTGAATTGATTGTCCAAGGGCGTGTCTGGTGGCATGGCCGCCCCTGACATCTGATTGGCCACTTCAGATGCCAACCCAAAATTTGGCTTTTGGTCATTTGCCTTGGAGGCTGATTTTAAAACCAATGACCAGGATTTAGACTACTGATGTTTTTGTTTGTTTCAATGCAGCCGGTTGGTTTTTGTTCATGTTTTGATTGTAGAAAGATACTTCACACATCAAGCTGATCTAGACCCTACACGATTCACAAAGGCCCATTGTAAAGCTGGGATAGAATTGAGCCCCATCGTGTAAGGTCAGACCCACTCCCATCCCATCTTCAACCATGAGTGTTGCACTTCCTTGAACTTGAATAAACTTCCTTGAATAGGCAGAAACCTCAAACAGAACCAGACTCATGTAAGACTGCTGAGACAACAGTGGGTTTAGAGAGGGGGTAAAGGGAGATCGAGAAAGAGGGGAGACTGATGCACTTAGTTGAAGCAGCTGGAAAGCAGGAAGATCCACGGCAGTGAAATATCTGAAGAAGCAATCCAGAGGAACCTACGGCATGATGGAGCTCAGAGACTCCTAGAAAAGACTGTGTATGAGTGACTCTAACGGGACATGATGATTTAAAGTTAATGACACAGACTCGGAGGATGTCTATTGTATAACAGTCCAACAAAAATTACAAGAAAACTGCAACAGTGTTGAGGTCAGACTATGGAAATTAAGCATGATTTATCTCATAGTGTGTTATAATGGATGACAGGTATTGTGGTTAAATGGAACTACAAGACATCAAGTAAAGTTCCTGAAGCTCTGCCAACAACTTCCCTGTCTTTCTGATTTGTCGTCAACCACAACGGACTTAGAAAATACAAATGTTAGTTAGAAACATTACAGATGCACCTTAACAACCTGGTGAGTAAGTGTTGTTGGCATTTCCAGGTGTCATCTAGCCAACTTGTCTCCCTTCTGGCATCATCACGTCAGTTTTGATAATTGGCTTGGTACAACTGTGAAGTCATGTTTGTCAGTCAAATCACAGTGAGAGTTTATGGCTTAATCTGACCCCAGGGCCACCCTAACAGACAGGAGATAGTGTAGTCTGACTTTGGCATACCTGTCACATACTCAGATGTTGTTAATGAATATAGTTTTGACAGTGTATCAGAGAAAGAACTTTAAATTGTGATTTTACACAAACATCTTTTTGAGTCCTTGAAAAAAAATAAGATATGAGTATCTATGTTTTTTCTATGTTGTGTTACTTTTTAAGAAAATACTACACAGGAATTAATTATCTGTATTATATTTGAACTCTAGTAAAATGATGAGTAAATTCATGTATTTGTTTGTAAACATTATGCCACCCCAGCATGAGTAAGAAACCAAGCTGAGCGGGCCACCCTAGTCAATAAAATCTGGACACACCCTTGCAGATACCGGCCAAATATGACTGAAGATCCTTAAATCCAATGTCTATTAGATACCCTTCCCACCTGTGGTCAGGCTCAGTGTTTTCATGTTGGGTCTTATGAATTAGAGTGTATATCCAGAAAAACAGTACAATGAAATGACAAGATCTGTAGCTCTAATGATGATTGTTTTAGTTTTTCTCCAGGCGTTTTTTCCAGTTTATGTCAGGCTGCCATGTTTGGTTTTGTAGTCTCTAAAAAAATCAAAGTGTGACATCAAATTGAGTCTTGTTATTGGTGTTTGTTAACATTTCCCTGTGACTCAAATAACAGCAAAGGATAAATTAGGTCAATTAGTCATATTTCACAAGAATGGTGTCTGCTGTTTGTTGTCTCTAAGAGATTTCCTTGAGGAAATATTATGGTCTGAAAACAAATAATCTTCCCTTAAGCTGGACCTATGCTCTCTGTCTGAGGAAGAAAAGCGTGAGAAAGTGTGTGAGGTGAGGAGGAGGGTGTGTTCACAGGTGTGCCAGCCCTCCAATGTGCGTTTGTGTGTCACCAGACATTGTTTCAGTGATGTAACACCTACGTGCATGTGTGTATAAAAGGTGGAGGCATGATTCATCCACCTCAAAAATTATCTCTTTAGCGTGCCAAATAGTTCCGGCTTTCAAACAGGTACTTTCAGTCTACATCCCCATCACAAGTTCCTGCTGCAAAGATGAGGAATCTTGTTTTTGGACTTTTTCTTGGACTTCTCGCTGTTGTCCACTCAACACCTGTTACAAGTAAGTGGATTGTTTTTTTGTTTTTTGTTTTTTGTCCAATTGAAAATTGTTTTTCAGTTTTTATAGTTTTTTGCAGTTTATCTCTTACAAAGGTCTCATTTCCTTTTAATCATAGTTTTTCTACACATGTGATTGTCCTCTGACTGTAAAATAGAGATCTGAATCAGGCTAGTTCCTTTTTTTGTGTCAATACCTTTCTGAGATAGTCGCTGGTGGTCATGACATTCTGAAGCAAAATGACATTTTCCCACCTCGTGACTAAGAAAGCCTTATACTTGTGCTTGAAAGTCTAAAAAAGTACATTAATTCTTCTACCAAGTTCTCTGAAATTTCCATTATTCCCACTGTGTCCTTTCTCTCAACCTGTGAGTCAGCACTTCCCTCTTCGCCACCTCAGATGCACTTTATGTATAAGGTCCAACTCTCTCGGCAAGAATGCAGGAGTCGTGTTTCATTGTCGCTGCGCAGGTTTCACTGGCACCTTCAGATTACACACAGAGATCATTGTAAAGTCTGCCGAGCTGTTCCAGGAGGTGCATTAAAGCTTATGTCTTGTGTAAGGTGAAACCCAAGAGCAGCTAGGCGCTGATACATAAGTTTGGGCAGCCAGTAACTTCATAGGAAGCATTGGAGCTGAACATGACGGGGCAGAAATGGAGAGTTAAGATCAGTCACTTGATTCTTCAGCACTTTTTAATTAACTTTCTGCAAAGCAACAAATTAGAGCGCAATAATGCAAGACGTAACTGGATCTTTTACTCAGATAAAGGGACCAGTTTGGGCTGCAGAATTTTTTAAAAGATTAGGAATATGGAAATTTAACATGGGCAATACCTGAATGCTACAATTTTTCTAAATATACACGTCACATCATCATGATTCAAACTGTTTTTTTAGCCATGATGTGAAAGTGATCGCTCTAACTAACAGTAAGACGTGCTAAAGTTACTGTATTGTTTTAATTATGATAAAATGACGCAACTAGAATAAGACATGATCACATATGTCGATAAAGCTCTCACAGTGTTGGTATTTTAATTCCACAAAAGTCAAAATAACCTGTTTTATACTGGGTATGACAGTTCTGCTAATGGGCATACCTTTGATCGTTTTCATCACTATTTATTCTATTTGTTTACACATGTGTAAGATCATTAAAACTGTGATTATAAAAATATAAGAGGTGCGTCAGGAGAGGTTGAGAAGCCAGCAGGCTTAAAAAAAGGGACCTCGCCCTTTTCGAAACAAAAATTTAAAACTCGCAAAATTACAAATTTTTGAGAAATAAATGTCAACACAATAGAGCGACAATCTCCAACCAGTAATGATGGTCTTCGTAGAAATTGTTAAAACCCGATAAAGACTCACACCCACACACATTTTAAGATGGTGTGTTTGGGCTTGGCATCTTCATACGCGACACTATGACGCCACATTTCTTGGTTGTTTTACTCTTGTTTGATGTCTCCTCTGTGTTGACATCCATTTTTTGGCAGTCTTCATAGATGCCTAATTCTTTTTTTTTGGCAAACTTGTCTTACTTTTGAGCAACTTTGTTCACCAGGTTTCTTCATCTTTCATGCCCTTGGCACCATAGTGTGCCTGTCTGCCATAGTGTTGGCAGACAGGCACAGTCGAAATGCAAATCAGGGATCCACTTTTGTAATGGATATTGACATTGGGCAGTTTTCATTTTGAATCTGAAATGACCAAAATTGACTTCGGGTATTTTAAGCTGCTTTCTAGAAACCTCTCTATTATGTATGGTTCTTTGTCTGCACTGTAAAGTTTCAGACAGTGTCTTATATCATGCATTTTCATTTTTTAACTTCTTTGGTTTTGTTTAGTTTTATTGGCTGTAGTCTTGGATTCTTTTTGGTTCAGCCATTGTAGCTGTTGACACTCAACTGTACAGGAACTGAAGTAACTTTAAACGGCTTGTTTATCCTTTCTGCTGAACCAACCACTCCTCTGTGATTCCTATCAGACACTCAGTTTATAGCAACAAAGAAAACTGCAAATGTAAGGACTTTTATTTGTTGGCCATTGACGTCAACATTTGATTAACCCATTCAGGTCAAAATTGTAACCAAATAGACATTGATTTAACCTAAAATTTCCATCAATGACTTAAAATATCAAAATTTAAACACATTTTGAAGAAATATGGAGCCTGTAATTGATATAAAATGTCATTGTTTTCATATGTACTACAGCTTATGGAAATGAAACTGGTTCCAGTACTTAGTTTTGGACATTGATTCTCAATGAGAAGAGTTTGGGCCACTTTAAAGAGTTATAAGACTCTTTAGGGTAAGGGGAGGTATGGAGGATAATGGCACGAAACCCGTATTATGACTCAGATCTGTCCTCGTTTACTCTGTTGCTCTGGGTGTGTCAAAAGTTGCGGCATGTTCGTGTAAACTCTAATGCCTTAGTGAAGCTGCCTCCCTTTTGTTCACTTACTCAAAGATCATTAGTCACCCAGGTTAATCATTACTATCCCACCCTGCTCCACATCAAATAAGATCACAACACAAGTTTATACAAGAATTGGAGTGAAACAAGTAATCCTTTTGTTGCAGTTTTGAAATACACCGACAAACGCTTGGTAATTTTCCCTTCTGCTCATGTCAAGACTGGTCGGTAAACACTTAAGTTGACCTGTGGATTTTTCCGTCCCTTTGTCCTAGATGTGACCCAGATACCCACCAAGGCTGACGATGAAATTCTCCTCGAAGCTGCAACAGATGGGTTCCTTATCGATCTTCCAGCACTCACAACCGAATCACCCAAGAGGAACACGACACTTCCAGCTGTCCAGTCTTCGTCCACTGTTGCAGGAGAGAGTGACTTTGAGGGCAGTGCTTCTGGGGAGAGCAGTGATCTGTTCCCCCAGTATGCAACCACAACTCAGAGTGTTACACATACTCAATTCTTGACCTCCACTGTGTTTCTAAGAGGGGTTGATCACTCCAGTTCAGATTCATCTGCTATTCAAAGCACTCAATCTAGCCTCACCTCTACACCCCTCCCAAAAGAAACCCAGTCAAGCACCACCACAGACCACCCTACTGCTTCTCAAACTACTCACCATGCTGGCTCCACTTTTGCCCTCCTGGACTCTGGATCAGGTTCTGGAGATGGGCTGATACCTGACGAATACCCAACTAAGACCGCAAGTACGACTTCTACCACAAGCCCAGTAACCAAAACTTCTACAGAAAACTCAGTGACCATCTCTTCTTCAACAACCACCAAGGCTGCTCCTTTAGGACAGGGTCGGGGAAGGATTTCAAATGGTAAATCAGCAAAGAACACTGGAGAGGACTCGGAAATTCGGAATGCCACTTCTGTGGTTTCACAACCAATCAATAATGTCTCAGGTAACTTGTGCCTGCACTTACCGTTATGCCTCTACCTTTCGTATTGTTTTTGTTAGTTACTTGTGGAAAATGACTAACCCTTTGTCTTTCTTCTTTAGATTCAGCGCCAAAAACATCTGAAACCCACAAAGGACACAGCACACCAGGTAAGTCAAGAGTTATACACTGACTACACTAGAATTTCCTCTGACTATTTAGACTATTTACCCAAACTACTAGAAAGCACATCAAAATCAGAACAAGCGCTTTATGAGGCGCACCTGTCCTCAAATATCTATTCACAAACATAAAGCTTTACTTCCATGAGGCCACGGCTGATGGTCTCCAGATCCATAAGGTCTAGCGGTGTGTGCATCCACGCCACCGCCTCCACTACATTATCTGTGAATGTGCGAGTTTTGGTAGCTAACTGAGCTGTAGTTAGTTTGAACATTTAGCTCAGGCTGGTAGTTTCTGTGAAAGATTTTGGTAAATCCAAGCAGGCATGACATGATTAATGGGGATATCTGTCTGAAAGGTACATAACCCATAATGTTTCGGTTAATGTCATTAACCTTGCTAGTCAGCACGAGAAATATACAGCAGTTGAACAAGTTATTGATTGTTTTCTTGCTGCCAGCCTCAAATGCTGGTCTTTGATTTATCTTCCATAATGTCATGATGCTCTACTACCTGGATATAAACAAGCACAGGTGACAGATTTTGATCCAGGAAACTACGACAAATGTGGTGCTAGCTCTGCTAATGTTAGCCACACCAGTTTGACACTGTTTACACAGACTTCATGATGGCATTTGTAATCTTGTCAAAAGTTGTGCTTGATTTGGACTTTTCTCATAGTTTTTACTTCACATAACATTCCTCCGTAATTCCATTAAACTGAATTCCAGGGTTGAACCTTTTTTTTTTAAGTTTGTCCCTTTTAGACATCCCTGATAAAAGCCAATGAGTTGAATCTCATTTGGCCTTCCTCTTGAACTGCTTTCTTCTGTAGCTAAATCACACTGATACACAAACAAAAACTGAGATTTTTTACTCACAAAATTTTTACGATCTATATAATTTAACTCTGGTGTCAGACAATTAATCTTAATAACCTTTCCTCTCTCCCCAGACTGGATCATCATCGTTGGTTTTATTGTTGGCGTTGCAGCACTGATCATGCTCTTGGCTGCCATTGCTACAAGAGACAAGTAAGACTTTAAGATATGACAGTTATTAATTATAACTATTACATCCAAGGAATTATATTCTAATGATTCCTTCCTGTGCAGGTGGAATAGACCAAAGACAGCTCACCTCGAGGACAAAACTAACTCTGCAAATCAGCAGAAGGAACAGGAGATGGAGACATTCCTGCGCAACGATCAGCCCAAGGAGAATGGAAAGGCGTCAGAATACACCGTCATCCCCCTGGATGAGCTTCCAGATAAATACTCATCAGACTGAGGCTCAGAAACAGGCCCTCTGGATTTTTCAGGCTCATCGTAGAACCACAAGACTGTGTTTGAAGCAGAGGAATTTGGTGAGAGGAACAAAACCGTCAGTGAGCTGTTAAGCAAGAGGTTTCAGCTCTGAGCCCAGACTGAAGAGAATGACAGTCTGGTTTTCCAGCCAGCTTTTAAAAAACTCTTTATCAAATCTTCACTTTGAGACTACTGCATTATTTTCGTTGATGTATTTATTGTTATGTCAACTCTTATGTGAGCTGCAATGTACAATACAAAGCTGGTCAGGTAACTTCCACAGATGTCGTTTATTTCAAACTGTCCTTACAGTGTTTTATATAGAAACTTTTCACATTGTAAATAAAGATTATGTTCTATTTGTGGACAAACTGTAATAATTGTGTGTCTAGTCTGGTGAAAACATCATTTGCCTTTGTTGTAATTATTTTAAATCTCTATGTAATTATATTATTGGAGGCTGACTTGTGGATTGTAACTTATATTAAGCCGCTCTGTTTTCCCAGCATTCAGCCCACAAACTCATTAGCTTCTCTCAGCAACCTACATGGCACTTCAGCTGTGGGACTTATTGAATGTTAATTTCACCTCCGCCCTCGTCTGAGAAATAAACACAATGCCAGCTCATCAATAAACATTTATTTTTGGTTTTTCATTCATATTTACACACAAGTATTAAAACATTTACACACTTTCAGTCCATTTGCATGACGAATATTTGTTTTTGTTTTTGGTACAGTTGTAGTTCACTTTGTATGTGTGATTTCAAATCCTTTTAAAGTGTTGCCAAAGTGGAAAGAAATTTTGAAGAACAATGAATAGCAAACACAAGAAACATAATGAAACATTTTCAGACTGACGTGCATAGAAACAAAGAAATATACAAAATATTAGTCTAACTTTCTAAAGAATATACAGTTTCACATTTCATAGAAAACTCCTGCTACTCTCGGCCAATTGACTGAAATCGTATTTTTGTTTGGATCAAGGCTCAATGACAAATATGCTAAATGAGGAAGTCATGTCATCAATTTGCTGATAGTTGTCTGTCAGGATCGTTTAAGAGTGTAATGATTATGAGGCGAGCTCTTTTCCATTTTGAGCCAAACATCAGATTGACAATCAAAAACATTTTTTCTTTGACAACCATTTGGGGCTGATTCCTGTAAAATCAGTTCAATTGTTTGCATTTTTTGCATTTTGCATTTTTTGTCAATAAAACAGCCCTATATACACAATGTAACAACACTAGCAGCCCATTTAGGATTATTAACATTTAACTACTGTCATTGCTAACGTATATATGCAGCTTATAGTATTAATAGAAACAGTATGCATAGCAAAAAACATTCATGGTAGATGACACAAAATGTCAAATTCTATAGATTTTCTTAAATGCATTTTCTTATCTGAAGAGAGTATTTACACAAAGTGCAAGGAGGCACTTTAAAATGAAACACAAAAGCTTACGGTTAAGAATCCCGATTTTGCCGTGGATTGAACAGAGTTGCTACGAGGAGTAAAACTTAAATAATTTCCAATGACCTTGTTGTTACAGCTTTAGATTAATGTGAGCGCTGGAGGCAGAATTTAGTGTGCTCTTGCTAAACAGACGTGACCAAAGCTAATTAACTCTACGTGTAATTACAGGCTTATTTATATTTAAATCTGCTGCGTAAAACTCTGCAAATTCTATGTAATTCCTCATGAGGAAGGCCCAGCCGTCCTCGCTCTAACAGGGTGACGCAGGAGGAGGGTTGAACTTCATATCTCTACAAAAATGTGGGAGCCAATGTGGAATTGGCAACTTTTATCCAGAAATGTGTTATTCGTCCTGTTGACTGCACTCTGCAGCTGACATTGTCAAGGCAAGGTTGTCATATAGCAAAGAAATAAAACAGTTTGAAATTAAACACAGAGCAATGCACTGGCCTGCTGAGGGTTTGAGAGACATCTCCACCCTTCCCCTTTTTTTTCTCCCTCTTTCTTCCTCTGATGCTCTCAGAAACACAGAGACACATAAAATGCAGTACATGCATACATTTGACTACAAACAGAAACTTCGTGCTTTGCTTATAAAGAACAAACATATAAAAAATGAGAAATAAATGACAGGAAGGGCACCTTTCACGTGCTCTGTTCTCTGCAACACATCCTGTACTCTCTGTTGCCACATTTAGAGGCCACCCCCCCTCCTCTTATGGGCTAAGTCCTAAGCTTATCTTAGGCTTGACCATGTGTACGCCATCAAAGTGTAATCCCATAAGTCAAAAGGTCAAAGGTAACTCAGTGTTTAACCCTCCTGCACTTACAGCGGAACACCACATGAAGCACTGTTTCATTCAGTCAGTGTCTGCAATATTTTGAACATTTGGTCCAGTGTTCATGGACATTTCATAAGAAGACAGCGATGTTAGAAATGACATATACACGAAACATTAATACTGAAAAACATCCAGACAGAAAGCCGGTCAAATACTGGTGTTCTAACCTGTAAAAACTGTCCATTACTTCTCTGTCATTTTCTCTTTGAATGCAACTAACAAAGTGATACCTGACAAGGCCATCATCCACAGATCATCTCTGCCCTTCAAAGCTACAAACAAAATGATTTTATACAAAAAAAAAAAAAAAAAGTTAAACATGGTATAAGAATTCGTTTGCTGACAAATCAGGAAGCTTGCAGCAGCACCAAGTAAGAAGTCTTTTCAACCAAATAAGAGATTCCTCTAAACAGAGGGCTTCAAATGAATCGCTTGGTTACAGTCTGTGTTTAGTTAGAGAAAATGCAAGATCTTGTACAACCTGTTGAGTCATTTGTAGTTTGGTCCAGAGGCTACCTTGGTGGTAGCGTAAAGAGAAAGACAGATGTCTTTGCTGTATGCTTGAAATTACTAACTCACATTCTCCTTTCTGTCTTTCTTCTTTTTGTGATTTTTGTTGTTTTCTATTCATGCCGGCAGAGAGTACAAGCTGTTGGAACTCAGGGTAAGGCGCAGCAGCATCGGGACCTGCTTTACTCGCATTTCCACGGTCCCTCCTCAACAAGAGAGAACTCTGCAGTCTTGCCATTTTTGCCCATGGTGACCTGTAAGCAGTTATGAGGAACATCTAACCATCTGGGCCAAGGCACCATCTTTTAAACAACAGGAATGGTTGGGAAGAGAAGCCATAGCTTCACTACAATCAGGCCTTTGAGGTCGGGCTAGAGCAGGTGAATTCCACTCGACATAGAAAATAACATTACAATAAAAAACAGATGCTGTTTACATGTCTGTTTGCAGTTACAGGATTACATGTATAAAAAAGTAGTTGGCCATGTATTTTATGGCTTCTCCGCCCAACTGAATTACATTTTCAAACAATCATAATGCAACTTTTGTATCAGACAAAATGTTGCATCATACAGACAGTGAAATATAGATTTGCTTCTCTAAAAGAAATAACTAAAAAATTTACACTGGTTTGTTAAGAAAGCAGGATAGAAATAGTTACATACATTTCCTGAATGTATGCTTGCCTTTGGATGAAGCAAGGTGAAACAGCAGTCTTTATGTGTACCACTGGTTAGAAAAAGTCTAGAAAAGTTTGATCTGGGCTGCCACAAATACATGTCCAATTTAACGGACAGAAAAAATGACAATCTCTGTATAAAATGAATGCAAACCACAACACCAAGTCGAATAGAACTGAGTACAAGACAACACGCTGAGATGATGCCTTAAAGTAAAAAATGAATAAATAAATAAATGAAAAGCTGTTTGTATTTCATGAGAGTGAAATAGACTTTTTATGGATAAAAATGAAAATGTTTTATAAAAAAAAAGGAAAAAAGAAATGGTTTTCTCAGACCTGGTATCACAAAAACTGCTTTTTCATATGATTAACCGGTGAGTCAATAAATATAGAAATATTTATTATTGATTCTTCACCCTTTTTTAATACAAAAAAAAAATCTGCCATGAAAATATGACATTTACTATTCACATATGGGAAGTCTCATAGAAAAGAAACACAAAGACAGACAGACAGACAGAGGGAGGACCAACACAACCACAGAGCCGGGGAAGGTCATCTACATACAAGTCTCTATGTCTGTTAACGTGAAATGTACCTTGCAGTCGTCTATTAAGATTGAGTTGTGGTGGGCATAAACATTCTGGTTGGTGTTATTTTCATAAAATGATTGTGTCTTTGACATCTCAAAGTCCTCCATCCGGGTCTGCTGGGAGTCGTAGCTGTCAAGCTCGTGTTTGGAGAGGTGATACACGATGCCCGCTCCGTACGAGTCCCCGACCACGTTCACGGAGGTACGGAAACGATCCCTGCAAGAGGAACAAATGGAAAAGGTCAGTGACAGATGCCAGTATTTGCTTATCTACATTTTAGGTATAAATAGCTAAACAAAAAGAAGTTTGATTTCCATGGTGACTGACAATGCAACTGCTCTGCAAAATCCCAATTTTCAGGCTGCAAGTTTGAGAAATGATTCAATTCTGTAGATATCACTGGTTTTGCAGCTTGCTTCTATTGCAGTTGTTCTTTTAGCATTGTTTCTGTTGCTGCAGCATGCATGCTTTTATCAGCCCTTTTGTTGCTGCATTACTTTTACACTGTTTTCACCACTTTCTGAACTTGCATTCTCGTCCCCCTTTGGGGAGTAGTTACCTCAGCTGCAGCACAATAACCTTTGACAGGCACCATACGTTTTCTAAGAAAAGCACAATTTAATGAAGACTCTTTTGCAGTATTCTGCAACAGTGCGCAGAAGAACAATAATCTTTCAAGGTTAATTAATTTGTCAAAGGAGTTTCTATCCTTTTTATGAATCATTTGGCCTGAGGTTCAGCAAAATCCCTGCGATCAGGTGAGGTTGTAGGTGGGGCAGCTTATTCCCACATGAGTAATACCAGAACAGCTGCCAACAGAGAGAGAATCTGCCAGGACTTTTTGTCTCTTTGCTAATGGATTATGTGCAGTGTAGTTTTGATTCTGAACCAACACAAAAATATCAGTGAGTGAGTAGGTGGGTATGTGGAGAGTAAAACTCCAGAGCTACAGAAAGGTCATCAAAGCCGGACAGCCACATTTGTTAACACCCCCAGAAAATATGTATCAGGACAAGCTCATGATCAATTCGTACTCGCTAAAATGAAAAAAAAAAAACTGAACATTTCGATCAAAAGTAAAAACACTACTGCCATCTAACTCTGCAATGAGTGAACTGTGTGAGTTTGCATGAGAACTGTTTAAAAAAAGAAAGCAAAAGTTGTCAGGCCGTGGACAAACATTGAAAAAAAACAAATTAAAAAGTTGTCGGATTGCTCCTTGGGTCAGAGAGCGAAAGAGTTTTCTGTTCCCCTTCAGATGTAGTCGATTTCCCCCTCCTAGTACTGCACTTTAATATCCTGTTTTTAATTTCTGGCCACTAACAGCCTCACTCACGACCTATAACCGCTCTATATTTGCACTCCAAATAGATTTTAGATAATTACTTTCCTCACATTCAACTTGATTCCATGTGAAAGAGGTAATTTGTTCTTTCTGAAGCGGGGGTTGAATGAAGGACTTGTCAGTTGTCGTGTGTTACTCACAGCTGGTGGTCAGCTCGACTCCTTTGTTGGGAAATCGTATGGAGAACCTGAACTGAGGCTAGACTATCAATCCCTGCAGACGGGGTCAGCTCTTCTTCGTAATTCAGCTAATTTTAAAACTCCTGTGGGGATTTTTTTTTAAACTTATGAAATCGACTGAAATTCATATTGATGCCTTCCGGTGATGTGCAAATGCAAACAAAACCAGCAGCTGCGAGATTGGAAACTTTTAGTTCTAATTTAAGTGCCTCAAAATTAATGCAGTAACAATTAACTTTACATTTGATTGTGGAAAGAGCACTAACATTGGTGTTTGGGTCTTAATTTCTCAAAGTTAGCTAAATAATGGAGCAGAGTGGACCCTGTCTATAGCGGTTGATAACCTAGTTTCTGTTCAGACTCTTAGGATTCTCAATAGTCTGACCCGGGTTGATTTCTACACTTACTCTTGACAAGCACCTCATGCAACCTAGCTTAAAACAGTGAAACATTTCCTTTTTTAAGTGTGTGAACAACTTAAAACTGAACTAGTTAAGTACTGCCACATAAAATAAGTTGCCGTACTTTCATACCAAAGGACGTTTAGACATATTCTTTGATAATTTAATCCAAAAATCCATGAAACCAGAGAGATTTCTCATCATCTCTCACATCTAAGCCTGGTTATGATCGTGATGGATTCAAGTGAAGGAACTATTGGCATCATGTCACCGGCAATTTATACAGAATTTGATCTGATTAAACATGACTTATCTTTGGAGTTCAGTTATTACCATGTTAAGCATTGATAAATCAATAAAATATGAAGGCAGGAAACAGATCATCTTTTAGTGTTGCTGTCTTTGTTTGTTGTGAACTTACAGCAGCCAGTCCACAGCCACCAGCAGGCTGATGTCCTGAGTGGGCAGACCCACAGCTGTGAGGATCAGAAGCATGGTCACCAGTCCAGCACTGGGGATACTGGCTGCTCCAACACTGGCCAGAGTGGCTGTCATACTGCGGAGGAGGAAGGTGCAACAGTCAGCAGGAGGGCGAGATGTGAGGCTTTTTACAGTGAGAGTCAACACTTCTAATGCTGTTGGTGTCAGAAACAGATAAATTCAAGGGTTGAAATGATCAAACTAGGATTGTATCCCGCTGTGATTTAGTTGGTAAGTGATATTGAAACATTTACAGTCATAAAAATGATGCCATAACCCCCAAACTATAATTCCATTTCAGTGCTGAGAAATAAAATGATAGTTTCTGTGAGGTTTCAAGAATTCACAACCTCTTTACTGCACGCAGATCTTATCAGTTTTTATGTGGGATGATAGAATTTGAAATAAGGAAAGTCACTCTTGTTCATCACCAGTGTGTAACCTCTCAGATATGTGAAGATACTTCTCTGCATCCACTTTCTCACCTGACAGTTATAATCTGGCCCCAGTCGAGCGCGATCCCGTTCATCTGAGCGATGAAGATGGCGGCCACGGCCTCATAAAGCGCTGTGCCGTCCATGTTGATGGTGGCGCCCACTGGCAGGACGAAGCGTGTCACCCTCTTGTCGATGCCCAGGTTCTCCTCTAGGCACCTGAACGTGACAGGCAGGGTACCGGCGCTGTGGTGAAAGACACGGGCGGACATGTTTTATTTTGATAAGCAAGCACCAAAGTTCAGTCCTGAGGGTTTGAACTTGCAGACAACAAGAACACTTTGACAAATTAAAACATTGTCTCTAATGAAATCCAATTTCACTGGGTCCCACTTGATGATGCAATCATTTTTAAACTTAATTACACCGTTAATTTATTCACAGCGAAATAAATCCACTTAAAAAATTGCCATCCAGCCAAAGACAGTAGGCTGAGGCTTCCTTGAGTTTAACTCTGCCAAAGTTAAATTAGTTTGAATTCACTTCCAGGGTGAATCTCACAGAGGGAACTGCAGTTGTGACTCAGCAGTTGTTTTGTATGCTTTGTCTGATAATTAAGAAGTGTTTCTGGTTGGCAGAGGAGTGGTGAACTTGAGAGAACTGAGCTCACCTCAGGAGGAGAGCCAGCTCTTCCATGTCATTAATAAAACATGATGTGAAAGGGAGATATCCCACATGGAGGCAAAGAGAGGAGCCGTGGCTGGCCTGACTACTTCATGGTTTAACATTAGAAAATCAGGGTTACTTTGGGATGAAAATGTGGATCACATTATTCACAGAGACACAGGAGAGGGGACCTGAGCTCTGTTGTTCTCACTATGACCAGTACCAGAGTCTGAATCTAAGATTAATAAACTGAAGGAAATGAGAAATCCTTTGTACCTGGATGCTGTCCCGAGCGCTGTGACCCAAGCTTGAAATATTCCCATGAAGAACGTCCAGGGGTTTTCTCTCACTATTACAAAATATATCAGCGGGAGGAAGATTCCTCCGTGGATGATGAGGCCCACTATCACAGTGATCATGTACATCCCCAGCTGCCTCGCCACCACCTCCAAGTCAGCGATGGAGATGATCTTTCCGCAGATGAGGCAAGCAATACCAACAGGGGAGTACCTGAAAATGACCCAGGATGTGCTCTTTTAGTGATAAGACTACTCTACATTTTTATCTTCTTTTTGCAGATTGTCAGCAGTAAGGCAGCGTCACAGATGATGATACTCACCACATGATTGCACCAACGAGCCTCATAACGATCTCATTCAGGACGTTGAAAAACTCCAACATCAGCTTGGCTTTCTCCCCCATTTTCCCCATGATCACACCGAAAGCAACAAAGAATCCGATCAAACCTGTAAGACACAACGTATCCCAAAATGCTCAGTGAGTCTTGCAATGATCTCATTTCTAAAAACATGCCACATATATGATGACATTTGCATTTTTAGTGTCTGTGTTTTTGGTCTAAATGCATATATCTCAAAAAAGAGATTTGGTTTGGTGTCCATTTATATTGGGCCATCCTCGTACATATCCATAAAAACCAACATGTTATGATTATGAACAATCTTTATTTTGATTTTAACTATAAGTTAAAAATATTGCACCGTGCTTGCAGGGCTGATTATCCTCTAGTCTAGTCCATTATGTCCCATTAGTCCATTAGTCTCTAAACTGTTGCTGTTAAACCAGTAGGAAACCTAGCTAGCCCAACTTATCGTACTGTAGGATCAGCTGCATAACGTTAGATAGGCTAGCTAGACTAAAATGGAGGCCTTGGGTGTCCATTGACAATAAAGCCAAAAGATTTAGAGCTCCCCCTCCTGGCTGTCTGCAGTATAGATCATGAACTACACCTTTTCTGCATTAACAGATGGAACCGGGGTCAAACTATGAAACTAAAAATACACGTCACACTGATTTCTCCTAAGTTGTAGCTACTTAATATAATGTCATGTTCATTTTTCAATAGGTTTGGTTTTAATTGGTTCATTGATTGACATCTCTGTTGACCAATGCAGGCTCCTGCAGTGCTGAATTATCAGAGTATGGGAAGAACAGCTCTATTTTCCAAAACTAGTAGTGTCTGCATCGGCTGCATCAATGCAATGTATCAGTGTGTGTCAAGGTGTTTATTTGGCTTCACATCTCACTGTAGGTGGAAATGAAGTGATGTCGACCAATCTATAAACAGTCCTGCTTTTTCACACGCTGCAAGCACAGGCCTGAAGTTAACCTATGGTGCACTGATGGAAAATCCACACGGGTCTGTGGTAAATCTGAAGTGTGTCTATCTGGAGGTTTGATAGTATGTTTCGGCGAATGGTTGGATTTGGATGTGAAAACATATATTTGCGATATTTATTTCAGCTTTTGCCTGATAGAATGCATTAGAGAGAAAATGTTTGAAATTCTTTTGTTTTTCTGGCACAAAGACGCCCAGCTCATCTGTCTCATCTTAAGATCTGTCATAACATAATTAATCTTCATGCATTCATCCATTTATTTGACCAGTTTTCAGTGGATTTGTTTGAATTGTTCAATTGTACAGCAGTGGTGTTGGTGTGTGTTATCTGTTTTTTTCCTCTTATATAATTTAAGGTGAAAAATAACTTTCTTTTTTCTTCAGGAACTATTCCTCTTCACTTGTGCAGTGGGAGTGTTTTCTAACTTTTCACCTACCCAGGACATTCATCCCTCCCTTGAACTGGAGCGACCTCTTTATTGTGAACTGTGGAGGTGCTTTGGTTCTGTTAGTGGGCACAGGTACTTTGCTGGTTACCGTCTGGATCTGGATGTAAATCAAAAAGAAGAACAAACAGTTGGAGCACCTCAGGGTATGAATCAGACCGTACATGGGGGTGAGAAGACTCCTACTGTACCTGTTGAAAGCACGCCTGCACCAAGTTTTCTGGGAAGAGATTTCGGATGAGATCGAAGAAAGCATCCATGCTTGACACCTCGTCGTTCTTCTTCCCCTGTCCCATATTTGCCCTCAGCTTTGGGTTTCCAGGATGAATGAGCAGCACCAGGATCACCCCGAGGATGGCTGCGATCACTGTCGTTGACATGTAGTACACCATGGCCCGAGTGCCCAGACGGCCACTGGATTTGGCATCCAAACCGGCAAGTCCTTTGGGCATGGGAGGTTCAGCAGTTAGTGGAATTACCTTAGCAAAATTACTATGGCTAAATACAACTATTAACCCTTTATACTATCTTAGTATTCAGTCTGTAACTGATTAAAATCTTTTACAACTGCAATCCCATAAAAGTTGGGATACTGTGTAAAAAGTTGATAAAAACAGGAGGTGATGATTTGCAAATCATATCGAGCCAATTTTTGATTAAAACAATGTAAAGACAACTTATTAAATACAGAAATTTAAAGGTGTTTTAATTTTTTATTTATTAATTTAAATAACAGAAACATGCTTCCAAACAGCTGGAGCATGAACAACAAAACACTGAAAAGGAGTGTAAGGTTAAAAAAAAGCACTTTAGAGAGGCTGAGTCCTTTTCATAAGTTTAGATAGGAAGAGGTTCATCACTGTGAGATAAGATAATTCAGCAACTTCAGACCAATGAGAGTCTAAAATTCATCAAATTGGTACAAAATATTGTTAAAAGATCAATAACTAATTGCGGGTGGCTGTGATCTTCAGGCCCACAGGCGGTGCAACATTAAAAACAGACATGTCTCTGTCGTGAAAGTCACTGCAGAGGCTCTAAATCACATCCAAAACTGGATATTTGTTCCAGTAATCATTGTGAACAGCGGAGGCTTTGTCTGAAAGGCTGTGTACATTGTAAATGCGTCTGTTTTTCTTTGCTGACACTTTGTGCTTGAAGGGTCTGACAACTCTTTAAACCAAACATTTCATATAAACTTCTCTCAAGGTGAGATGACTCAGTCCCAAACTGAAGCAAAATATAAGTTTGTACTTATCAGGACAATTAAACTCGTCTTTAAGTTCAGTTTCCAGGTATCCAGTGTGACAGAAGTGATTGCAACTCTGTTTATCCAGACGTCTGGGTGTGATAAATATCCACAAAAGCAGTCTTAGATAGAAGTTGCTCACAAGGAGGGAATTGTTTGGGAGGAAGACTTGATGTAACTCTGAAGGTTGCCGAGAGGCGCTGTTGTAAATGTGTCTGCACACTTAGCTCTAGACAATAAAGGCTTGTGATTGAGTTTTATCACAGGTTATAATGTTGCATGTAACCGTAAAGTTTAGATCCTGCAGTCAGGCCTCCACTCTTTGATAGAGAACGCCAATTGATGTGTTAACTGACGGTTTTAAATGTCGGTCAAGGGTCGTGGCCAAGGCTACGTTATTTTTACAACATCGCTGGGTAAACAAAGTTGCACAGTGTCTGTCAGGTGATTGTAAAATAAATTATGAAAGGGGTTTGCCAAAAACACGTCATTTGACCACATAAATCCCAGCTCTGATGCATTCAAGTGAAAATCTCGCCATCCGAACTCACTTCCAGAAAATCTAACTATATCTCCATGTCGTCAGCGGATTATGTAGGCCTAGTTAAAATTTTTGAAGTTTTGTTTTTCACAAAAAAAGAAAAAAAATAAGAACATCTGCGTACCTGTGCTAGATACACCCAACAGAAACCTGAGTGTGCCTCTCCACACAGATCTCATCTATGCACAAAATAAACACTTTATCAAGCACTTTTTGAGTTTGCTTGGCAAAAAAACCACCCACTCTGCCGTCTCTCCTGTTGCAACTTAACTCCCTGAAAGCAACAAGGTGCACCGCTCGTCTTCATTTCAGGACATTCAGCCCGCAAATTAAGCAGAACATTTGCAACAGCTACTGTACCCCACCCACCTGTGACCAGACTGGAAACAACAAGAGGCAGAATAAGCATCTTCAGCATCCTCATTAGGATCTCCCCAGGGAAGGCGATGATCATAATAACATCAGGAGGGAGAGGGGATATGTGCCGCAGCAGCATTCCAGCAATGGAACCCAAAAACACACCTGAGCGGGCGAGAAAAACACAAATCAAACACCAAACCATCACAGAGCCATGAGACGGAAGCTGTGAGCTCTGACGGTGTCTGAGTGAGAGCGCACCAGCATCTGCGCTGAGTAAACCGTCATTTTTTACTCACTAGTGTCTTGATTAACATCACAAAGTGTCATCTGTGTTTCAATTCTTACTGTGTGAACATGTGAGAGATAAAACCTTCTTTTAAAGGTCATGTTTTTTTCTTCACCATGCAGGGACCAAAAGAATAATGACGGCGAGAAAAAAATCTTTTTAATCCAGAAGTCTTTGTGTGAGAGTTTTAAAAAATCCTGCAGAAACCCGATTTTCTGCCAGTTTACCTCTGGTAATGACAAATTAGATGTAATAGCAGCTCCTCGTTTCCGTCTATTTAGTTTACACAAAAGCAAAATGATACCTCTATTGAATTCAGATCATATATTCAAATGATATGTAGTAAAAAGTAGCAACAAAGGCTTTGTATGCTCCTGTTACCTTTATGAATTGAGGAATGAGGAATCAGGACTGGGAACTTACCGAGGATTGTGAGTGTAAGAACCATGTTCTTCATGATCTTGTCACACAGAGAGCTACAAAGACTCTCCGTGGTGTCCACTCTGGGCTCCAGGTGGCTCTCATCCATCCTGACCTCCACTTGCTTCTGCATTTTGTTGGCACTGAAATAAGAAAGAGCAAAAAAACATATAAATCATTTATCAGTTTTCAAAGACAAAACTTTTTCATTTTAAATCAGTTTGGAGCAGGGATTTAACTTGGCTGGTAAACTCCTGCACAGAACTACCAGCACCATCTGCTGCAACCCTTTCCTTACCTCTCTCTTGACAATTCACAATAACATCTAAAATACATCACCCATGATGTGACACTTGCACCCTTTCACAGGCACTCGCCCTTCGCTTCTCGCCAGAGTAATGTTAAAGTCATGCAAACTCACAAGTAGTGCAGCGCTGGAAAATGTGGAGAATGATTTTCCTGAATAGTGTAGCCTAATGGAAAATTGGAGAGCAGCATGGTGATACAGAGATGTAGAGGTTCTTAGTTTGTGTGACACAACACTGTGTTTTTTCTTCTCCATAGTTGTATATAGTGAAAATCAGCTTTAGCCGCTGGTATATTTTGTTTACTGTGGAAATTTAGAGCATAATACGGATGGTTTACTGGCTGCAGGTTTGATACACAGCCACTTGTTGCTCACAGTCTCTACAGCCCGCAGGTGTGAGTCAGATATACGTGAAGGCTTCAGCTAGAGATTTACCACAGAAGAAACTCTGTTCCTAACTACTGTAATGTCCTGGGGTTTGACTCCCATGGGAAGTACTTCATGCTTAGCTGTGCATACGGGCACACAGAGTGGTAGATTGGTGGAAGGCCAATGGGGGATTGTGCTTTTATGGGTGCAATTTATACAGGAGGGAATCTGCACAAGTAGGAGCAAGACTTTGGTTATGAACAGTTTAAAGCCACAATGATACCACTGAGCAGTTTGTGAACCCTTCTCCGAGGCATGGCGAGTCAGCCAAATCCTGCTAAATATCTATTTTACCTTAACATGATTGCATTAATTATCAATTTGATTTTATCTTAATGCGTTTATCATCATAATTCATTGTTATAATCATAATATTTCAACTTTGTGTTTATATTTCCTATGCTTGTGTCCTTGTGAATAACTTTGGGCTGCATGCATGGAAGTTGCAGCATGTTTTCTAAAGTGCAGTTAGGGTTTTAGGGTGTTGCATTCAGGTATTTATATTCTTTTTTCCATCTCCAATATTACTTCTTGAGCAACCATCAGTCACCCTCTGTCAGCCGTCATTCAAATACATGTAAACTTGTAAAGCCCGAGGATACCCTGACTTTTCATTTAAAGTTCAAGCTCTCAGGAAAATTCGACACTTAACATCCTCCTACCAAGTCGGTCCCTGACGGCTGTTGACAGTCATCTGTCTTGGTAGATGGGTGATGCTGATTGCAGACATGCTTGGGGGAAAAAACTGGGCTGAATCCACTAAAAGGAAACACTTTGTTCTGCCGGTATCATTACCCAGTCATTTATGCAGCGAGGAATGAAATTTGCAACAAGTATTAAATTGCCAACATTACATACCAGAGTGATATCAGAAAAAAAAAATCATGGTGTCATTAATTAATTAATGAAGGCGCACACACACATGGTTTAACTCAATTAATGCTGCATACTTTTGCATTCTGAATGCATGCAAATGGATACAAAGTTTGCAGATGGCCTTTTTATAATTAGTGACTGACACTCCCAAACAATTAGCACAGAATCTATCAAGAGCCTGTTCATAATCTGCATTTTAAACAATTTATTCCAGTTTTACTCGATAAATTTGAGTAAACAGAACGGCAGCTGTTACTCATATCCTCCCCTCTGCTGCTGCTTCTGTTGGAGGTTTATGCATAGTCATTTATGATAATTTCAGAAATTCTGTTTTGGTGTTGAATGTAACATTTGAGCGTGCGTTGTGGATGTTTTGTGATGGTCACCGACTTAAACCTGGTGTTTTCTTAAATTTCAGTGAATTTTACAGGTAATTTTGTTGGTTCAAGCCGCTGATTCCAGTTAATCTCGTCTTTTTATTCCTCCCCTCTGGCTGCTTTGTAATGTAACCGAAGCAACAAGTGTCTGAGGTTTGTTGTGGTTTGGTGTAAAGCCTCTTTGACTTAAAGATCAGCTCTCCCCTGTGCAGCCTTTAAATCCTCTGTAGAGCACAGACTTTCACTGTTACGTAAGAGTGATTGTCCATGTTATTTGGATACTTGACCTTCATGACTTTAACACCTGGAGGATTGGTGAATTTATACTGGTTGCACAGGCAGAGAAGAAAAGATTCATGTATTTATTTCCTCAATGCAAAGCTTGGAGATGTGTTGAAAATGATGTGGCTCCATTTACAAACATCTACTCCTAAAGAGGGCAGAAAAGGTGTCAGATAATGACTCTTTGGATCCTACTAGACTCTTATCCCTCAGCCAGCATCATGTTTGATCTTCCTATATGTGAAAAAAAAAATTGTATAAGACCCTAAAGGTAACAGAGACCACATAAGGTGAGGATAGAACACCTGCCAAGTCAACCACGACTGTCTGATACATTCTGCTCCAGCATTAATGAGACTTAAGCCTTTTAAAGAGGATAAAATTAGCACCTGCAGCACATAAGTGATTGAGTTATGCAACAGTAAAGGGGCTTCCCAGGGAAAGTCAAGGTGTCACCACCACCTGACCTGACCACTGTTATGCAGGGGATAACAGGTTTCAATTAAAACTCCTGTGCTTTTCCACGACAAACTACTCCTAAAGCATCAGGTGGAACATCTCATGAGTTGTTGCTATCACTTTCACTTCATTAATTACATTTTAACTTAAGATCACAGATTGAGAAGCAAAAAAGGTCAAAGGGCAAAAAAAAGAGGAGAGTATATATCAGAGTAACATTGTTTCTAAATCTATAGCTGCATTTACAACAGGATCAATGAACAAAGTTTGGTTCACCCTTAATAGCAGTTATCTTGAAGCACAGCATCTACTTCATCATCAACATCATGCATCATTGATGCATCTTTCCACTTTCAAGGGAGATCCACACCTCCTCAACGCCACTGTTTTGATGACTCATCTCAGAAACTACCACCACATTGCTACTTGCTACTATTAATGCTTACCGGTTGTTTTCTAATGTTGCTTTGGATTGAACTTGTACTGTTTGAGAGCTACCACGCAGCCGTCAGCTTCAGAGAGCAGAATAACAGACTCATGGCTCATGAATTAATAAATCCAGACTGAAACTCCAAAAAGTTTCTCTTCAAAAAAAAGCCTCTCAAAAACGTGAAAAAGCACTTCTTCCTCAGCGCTCGATGTAAATCCACATTCAGAGGTGTCTGCTCATTCAGCTGCAGGGAGGCGCGTACAGGTGAACTGACTAAACTGGAGGACTGACATGAGCCTCCCAGACAGGCAGGGTGGAGTCAGCTCGCTAAGATTAGCGAGGGAGTGAAAATCCTTGTTCTGTTTTTTTCCTTGCCTTGTTGTGTTTGTTTACTTCCCCTCTCAAAGACAGTGATTTCTATTGCTTTGGACATCTGACAAAATTAAGTCTCAGGTGGTGGATGATAGAGTGAAAAATGGTGTTGGGATTTGTGTACTTTCGGTTGGGTCTGATTTGACTAAAAACACAAATCGTGTTGGGATATTTGGAGCAGGTTATTTAAAAATGTAAGATCTCATGAATTAGGCAAAAGAAGGACAGAATTAAATTCATTATCACTATTCTGGAGCTTCAACACGCTGCACTTGTTAAACTTGAGTGCAGAAACTTGGAAAAGTGCGTGGTTTGCTGAGTTTTTATTTGTTTAGGGCTTTGTTGCCAGAAGTTTTGGCTTAAAACATTCTCAGAGGAAGTTGTCGAGAGCGGCAGCCCATGATTCATTTCAACACAGAGATGGGATGTCATGATGGGATGAGTCTGAGATCTAATGCTGCCTACGCTGTGAGCTGTCTGTTAGGCCTACTGACATTTCAGATAAACTCTCATCCTGTATGTTATAAATCAGAGTCAGGAAAAACTTAGCATAGGCCTTCAAATCTAAGTAAAGTTCTTGAATGTGATTAAGTTGGCGTTAATTAAGATTATTTATGAGCTAAAGGAAGGTCTATTCGTGTCAGGTATGAGTCCAAGCGTAGCAGCATAAAGCTTTAAGGAGGACTAACTTACCAGAAGAAAACTTGAGAAAATGAGAAAATTAACTGCAGCCATCTCTCATCATTTTTGTATTTAAACAGATATGAATTATAAGTCGTATTTTGGTAAAATTTCATATTTTATTGATTGAAAAAGAAAATCTTGGCACGCATGTGGCTTCAATTATATCTTCTCTGCAGCTAAAACCAATATCGGCTTGTTTAAGATGACAGATGATAATTTGGAAGGAGGGAAATCAGGCAAGTCTAAACTTTTTATGACTGTATTGATTTTTTTGTGTTTGTTTGATGATTTTTTTTGCGGCTCCCTGAATCCTTTTTTACTGGTTTTCAGATCTTTGAGGAGAAACTTCCCCCGGCAGCACCGTCACATGGCTCTCTGGCTGCTGGTGCTTGTATAGACGCACCTGTTTTGTAGCTGCTTAGTCAGTGAATGGCCAAAGTGTGATAATGCTTCTCCTGGAAGCTATGGCGTCTTTTGCTTTCGCTCAATGACAGCGCTATTGTGATGCTCACAATTGTGTCGCTGGTGCATTTCTTTGTGAATGGAAAGGTAGAGTGACTGAGTTTTTATGCAGAAAAGATGATTACCAGGTGTTTTTAATGTCATCGGAGTCATTTTGGCCGTCATTATTATAGTCCTATTTGGTGTTTTATATTCGAAAGCCATTATGCTGTGCAGTCTTTATGATAGCTTCAAGCCTTGTTGACTCCTATACACAGTATAATTCAGTTGTTATAATGGGGCTTTGAAAGCTTTATCTCTTTCTCTTGATAATTAAGTCATTTTTTGGTCAAAGAGGCTCAGCTCTCAGGTGCAGAGTAATGGCCTGTACGAAGGTCTATATAGCTGCTGTAGGTTGTGTAATCCGTGCAGTTTGTAGGGTTAACAAGAGTAAACGTGTAGCGCAGGTGCGAGTTTCTTTCCCAGAAGTGTGTGTGTGTGTGTGTGTGTGTGTGTGTGTGTGTGTTCCTATCACTGAGCCGCTCCTTGAGCTTGGCGAGAAGAGACACAATCTAGGAGCACATGGCAGAGCATTTGTCCATGCAGTTCCACACCTCGCCCCGCCTTCCCCTCCTGCAGCATCAAGCTGACCTCATGCTGCAACACCTGACAACACACACCACGCTTAGACAGCAGGTGTCTATAATTAACTAAGCTGTTCTGAGCCACCCTAATCCAGCACACATACACACTGAGATGGATCAGACACACTCTGAGAACAAGTCTACAGCTGGGTCTACAGCTGGCAGGGAAAGTGTGAAAGAGCGAGCAGGCAAATAAATAACATATGCAAGTAAAACACAAAGTCCTGCTTTCGGAGCAGGACAGCTTGACGTGACAAAAACAGGAAAATCTTCAAGTTTTGTTACTCTGTTGAGACAATACATTAAAAATATTGACATAAATGAAGTTTCAGAGCTGATAGGAAGCTTTATGTTAAATAGAAATACAAAAATGAATCTGTTTTGACAGTAATCAGCTCTCACCTGCAAAGATCGCCCATCTCTAAGGCAAACACCTCAAGTGTGAGGATTATTAACATGAGAATGTCGCTGTTTCTACTTATAATTAAAACAATCAATACAAAATCCTGAAGTCACGTGTCTGTAATTAAAGGATAGGTAAGTAGAGTAGCAATAAACATTGGTACACACATCTATTTTCTAATAAATGTCAAAGTATATGTTCATTTAAAACAACTAAACAGAATCATATCCACCTTTTTTTAAAATAAAACAAACTCCTGCTTATTTTGATCTTATAAAAACATTAGGTTAGATATTAAACTCTTTATTGTTCCTAATGGGCAAATTTACCAACGCCATTAGTGCAAAATAAATGTGCAGCTATTTGATGCGCTATAGAAATAAACAGCACTCCAAAACAGCAACCATAAATGCAAATCAAGTGAGGCATAAAAGTCTGAAATGCACATCATGACTGTTGAATATGCAAATAAAGAAAGAGGTTAAATGAGGGTGAAAAACAGCAACATGTTCCCACTAGGTTATTTATAAAGGTTTTTTATTAAAGGAAGCAAATAGGAAAATTCACTTAACTGCAGAAAACGATTTATTTAGAGAGTGATTTGTTTTTGTCAGCAGAGACATGCTGAACTATGATGGCTGCGATTATAACACAGCAACAGTAAAATACGGAAAAAGGAATCAGAATACTGCAACTTCTAGGCAATTCAAGCTTTGAATTATTTTAGGTGAAAATGAAAAATTCACACTTCCAGGAGAAGTCTGGTATCTACATGAAATAAAAAGATGATTTTCTTTGAACAAAACTGCAAAATTAAAAAGCAGTAAAGAGGTCTGCCACAGTAATTCCAGTTGCGGCCTGTCCAGAGAGGTGTCAGTTCTTGCTTTCTGTCAGTGAGCACCAACTTTAAGGTTTCTAAATGTCAGCTAACCAAACTAAGAAGAAGAGTTTTTTTTAAAACTTCTTCCCTTATTTATCTATTCATAACATAGTTTCACCATCAGGACAATAGTTTGTTACCTCGATCTGATGTTTTTACACCTTCCCCCTCACTGTAAATACAACTTAAAAGGACTACAAGTCCCAGCATGCTTTGACCTCTGTTACATAACACAGACACGTGGATCCTGTGGATGTGGAAGTCCATTAACTGCTCAGAGATTTAGTGTAAGGACACCCTGAGCTGGGGTCAGTCAGTCAGTCAGTAAAATGGTGATGCTTCAATGGGTCTGAAACAATGAGGATTAATGGCCTTCTCTGATGGTTCAATGTGCCAAAGTGTCACTCTGCCAGGGCTCCCAAGGATTTCATGCTTTCAGATCAGATAAATATTCTATGCTCTGTGGCAGGTTTATAAATCTCCATCTGCTTTTAAAAAGTCAGTGAATATTATCTCTGGAGGATGAGTATATAACCAAACTTTTCTAGAGTTCAGAAAATTATACAAAGATCAACTTCTGTCGTCTCGTATCTTGATTTATAGCTGGAAAATGGATAATAATAACTGCAGGTTTGAGGTTGAGCAGTCATTGTGTGCCCTGTGCTGCCCACACAGCGAGCAAGTTCAGTTTAGAAGGTCAGAACATTAGGAACATAATTATGAAAACACACAAAATGTTCCTTTAGTATCCAGCCACATTAAAGCATCAGACTTGTTCTTCATCTAAGCTCTTTGAAGGGGAACGAGAGGTCAAAAGCTCTCAGCCCTCATTCTGTAAACATATTTTACCAAGACTACCAACAAGAGTAATTAAGTCTCTAAATCGAGCATCAAAAGCAGAGGTTAAGCTTTTTTTTTTTAAACACGCATCCTGCAAAATGACCGATGGTGAGGCCTTTCCTCTCCTGATACTTGTTGATTCAATCTGTATATCCCGTATAATAGACAGGGGTTAAGATGATTCTCCAGTACATTAGATTTCTTTTTTCCCTTCAGGACTCTGTTATGTCAAACCATGAACTAAAAAAAGGAGTATAAAGGTGAAATGTGACAAGTTGGAAAAACTGAAATGACAGAATGAACCGAAATTCAGCAAAATCTGAAAAGCTTTTAATAATGTTGCTGAAAAAAAATCATGCGGCTTGAATTTTTTATGACTTTGATCTTTTGCTCTTTTTGTTTTCATGATTTTTAATTAGAGGAACTACAAATTGGCAGGGTCAGGACAAAATGAACTGTCTCATGAAAGGAAACAAGACTTAGAATGAGCTCAAACTTGGCTATTGGGATGAAGTGTAAGTTAGAGTCCTGTGCATTTACTCTGTTTTCTTTATTCTTATTGGGGTTTTAAGGAGAATTTAATACTTTTTATGATAGGATTGGAAATCTGGCGCAGTACTGAGATTTTTAATATTGGCTTAACCAGCACCTCTGGTTTATTATTTTCTTCTAAATAACTATATAAGCCTTAAATAAAGATGCCTGTTTTATAATTATTGGTTATTTTGGGGGATTAATAGAAAGAAAAGATTAATGTTGACGGCCACATTTGTTTGAAAGCCCCGATTTATGTGCGAGTGATGGTGTTTTTTTCCCAAAAGAACTAAATCTGGAATTTAGATTGACCATTTTTTACACTCAGGATCTAAATTGAATTTGGTAACCTCATAATCATTTAAAAAACTTCAATGATTAAAGTGTTTTAACTGATTTTATAGGAAAATAACACATTAAAGGTATGATTTATTTTCAAAATGAT